TTAACCTACGTAACTTTATCTAGTATATATATATATATATATATACTAGATAAATTCGACCTATAAAAGTTATTATAATGTTTAATCATAAAGAAAAATATTTAATTCGTTGCATTTCCAACTTTCATTAATATTGATACCTTTCCGTTTCCTTCTTCAAAATAGTGATATGATATCTAAAAAAGATTCAGCGCAAAAAAATTTTTTTAAATTAATTTTTTTATTAAATGTTAACTATTTTAGATGTACTCGTTAAAATTCAAATAAGAATGAAAAACTATACGAGCAATATGCATAATGTGGTTGTATTTTGATTATTGCTTTATTAAGTGATACAATATTATAAAACGTTTCAGTCTTAATTTGGACCTTTTTCTGTATAAATATTTCTGTCTGAACTTGTTTTAACGCATGTTAACTATACTTAATAATATACTCTTAACTATATGTATTACATATACTTAATAAATAATATTTAATTCAATAAATATTATGTAATGTTTTTAGTATCTTATTTTATATTTAATATCTTAATTTAATATTTTTAATATAATCACAAAGGTATATGGATTTTCAGCACTAGTTTTATGATATTATCAAGAAATTCTAATGATTGACAAAAATCTTCACAATAAATAAAAAAAATTACTAACTATATAATTTTAATTGATGATAATTTTTAATAACATAGAATTTTTAAAAATATTAGAAATTAATACTCAATAGTTGAATTTTGATATTATATTTTGATATTATCAAGAAATTTCTAATAATTACAAATTTCAAAAGATAATAAAATTCAACTAAATGGTATTGATTGATGATATTTTTAAATTGTATGCTATTAAAAATTATCGTTAATCAAAATTATAGTCAGTATTTTCTTTATTGTGAACATTTGCAATCATTAGAATTTCTTGATAATATCATAAAAGTAGTGCTGGCAAAAAGGAATCTATATATTTTCAGGGTCTAAAGCGGGTCAACGGAAGGTTTTAACTAAACCCTACTTTGAAGCTTTAGCAGGAAAAAAGGAAATTTCGGACATATTGTAGCGCCAAAGTAGGTGCTATTATATACATACGATACAATGCATAACATCTACTTTGACTCTCTTATGCCTACCTCAAAATAAAAGATTAAGGTTCAATATAGGTGCTAAATTTCGACTCGGGATATTCAGTTCTCTTCGTTCCCTTTGTATATATTTACTATTATATCAAACTATGTATTAAAATCTCATAGGTAATCACATTAGTCGCAACAGCAATAATCTATCTTAAGTCTATCTTAATCATTATATCCTTAATGGACGTCTTCAGGGCACGTAGATGAGACTGTGCGCATTTAGACAAGAGCGTGCGCCTGAAATTTGCGGAATAATATAGGACGATCCATTAAATCAGCCTTCCGCGGAATTTCCATATCCATCTTGCACTTAGCGCTGATCGAACGCAGAAGAGATCCTTTGATCTGAATCGATCTTGCGCATTATTAAGGATGCTCGTTTATCTCGAGGGAGGCAGGTAAACCAAGGAGAAGAGGCATGGACAGTGCATTTCGATTATGCGGTAGGCACGCTCGAGTGCGCGCAATACGTATGCATGCAGCTGGGTTATAGTTGCATTGTGTACTCGTTGTAGCATCGCAGCTGCGAATTCCGCAACCACTATCGTTCCTCGGCCAAGAATTCGCGAGCGAAGAACATCTTCAATCATTCAGCCGACTTCTCGAATTTCGATAAGCATAAAGTATCTTTGCAATAAATAAACTGGAAAACTGAGAGAATCGATTGTTTATCGAAACATCTGTATACATTTCTTCTTAATTATTCACACATTCGTCTTCAATGTTTATTGATGATGTTAGAATAAAACGAATTAAATACAAGCGTGCGTATGCACATTAATCTGGACGATTTCTGCCTATGAAAAGGTACAGCAATCACGCGATAGAGAAATTACTTTTGTTCGTTAAATCGACCGCAGCCGTTAAATATCATTAAGAGGATCACGCCTCGCTGGCGAAACGTCTTTGTTCTGATATACTAAGGGAAAACTTTCTTTCGAATGCTTGCTGCGACTTTTAAATATCCTTTGATACGGCCTTCATCCTCAATAGAACGCGCGCGCGAAGGGTTCCCGGAAAAAAGAAAAAAAAAAAACTACGATCGTGAGGCTTTCTTTAAAGATGCTTGAAGAGGGATTCATAAAACGCAAGCTAAGACGATGGTTCCCATCTTTCTTTTCCTCTTGCGCCAGGATTTCTTTGTGGCCACCATCTTTACGGTCCGTGCGTAACTATATTTACGACACGCGGAAACATCTTGTTTCAGTGTAACAATAAATGCATACACACACGACGTACACGCATTTTTCTTTGAGATACGCGTCGCGCAGTCGTTATGCGCTTTTTAAAAAAAAACTTGGAACAAATAAAAAGGATTATTAAATGAAGACGGAGCTGCATTCAATTTATTTTCTAACAAGTTTCTTGTATAACACAAAGAAAATTTATATAATGACTTATGTTAAAGTATAGGATCAAATAAAAATTTATAGTCAGAGTTTTATTTTTTATTTAAATGAATGTTCCTATTAATTCTTCTACAAAACAACTAAAAAAAATAATTTCTCATTAAAATGTGCTTGCTATATACTATAATTTAAATATAAAAAAAAAATTGCAAAAATTTTTCAATATATTTTCGTTTAATATTTCATAATTTAAATGTCGAAATTTGTTCGGCCACTTGAATGTGCAAGTTTCGAAATCACATGTTCAATTAATCGGTCCCGAGCGAAATGTCGAACGGCAGAAATAACTTGACAGTGTCCTGGGATTTGTTGGAAAGCCTACGATTATTAACTCGGCCAGAGCTCCGCCGGAAGCTGCGCCGTGCACGACAAAAAGCTGCGATTTCCGCCAATAAAGCACGAAGGGAGTTTGACGCGCTAATGGAACGAAATTGCGGGGGCGAAAGGCAGCTGACATATACGGAGTGTCCTAGATTCATTGCCGCCTTTTATCTGCGAGTTCCTTGACAAATCTGGCATCAAATTTTTTTGAACGGGATCTATGGTTAATATTATGTAACAAATCTTAAATTCTTAAATATTAAATTTTACAAATGTCGGAAATTGAAAGGAATTATTATTTATTATTTAATGTAACCTAATTTTAAAAAATTCTTAATTTTATATAATTATACAGATAATTCTACAATTTAATAATTATTTAGGTTATTCATATATATAATTATTTCAATGTTCTGACATGTAGCGTCAGCCAATGAAATATTGATGAAAAAGGGATTCAAAATTGATCAAAACCTGTAAATGATACCCATTCAAACAGGACACCCCGTATACACAAGAGAATCCGTCTGGTATAAGCGTTCCTTCGTTGATGACCGCAAAAGTTATACGGAAGGCTTCCGGCGAATGAATGGTATTTCACCGTTTCCACCGCTCCCTTCGACTCCCCCTTCCGATCTTTCTGTCGCTCTCCTACGATGGCATCCAGCAGCCCTCGTCACCACGGACCATTTACCAATACCCATTCGCTCTTCTTTTATATATATATGCCCGAGCTGTCCGCTCCAGATGGAAGAATACCAACCACTTTCTCGCGTTTTCCGTCGGACAGCGACACTTTACTGACATTTTCTACCCCTTCTCTCTCTCTCTCTCTCTCTCTCTCTCTCTCTCTCTCTCTCTCTCTCTCTCTCTCTCTCTCTCTTTCCATCTCTTCTCTTCCGTTTTGCAACGAGGCGACAATCGAACCTGGAACGTAGTCGACTTTTCAGGGTAGGTACGCCGGTTCGAGCGATTCGTCTCGGAAAAGCGAGACAGCGGCTGTGATCCATCAGCTGGTAATTGACAGTGAAATAGTTTGTGCGCGTGAGAAACATTTATTGCACACTGGTTTCCGTGCGCGCGCGCGCGCGCTTTGATATCTCGGTCTGTGTGTTATCGGTCGCAACCACTTCGCTCGTCGATAATCCGCCCGTGAAACGCGAGTGACGTGCCCATAGAAGTCGAAACGTAGCATTGAAGTAAATTATTTCATTGAAGAATAGTAATTTTTTCATGATATAATGTGCGCCCCGGATCACATCGAGATCAGATAAAAATATACAAAATGATACTATTGATTTCAATTAAAGCTTCCTAAATGTAAAATCAGAAAATACGAAACTAAACGTAATAAGAGACTTATCTTAATAAAAAATATGCATATAACGTTTAGTAATAAAAGCTCTAAAAATGTATAATAAAACTGAACGGAAATAAAGAATTCCCACTTTTCCTAACACATAAACGAGTGTAAAAAAATTTTGCAAGTAATTTCGCGAATAGAATTTCTCGCAGACAGCGACGGTCGTTTCCGAAAGTTGGTGACGATTATATGAAACTCTCAAGGCAAGAGAGTGGGCAATCGCAGAACGACGATAACGAAGTTAGACAATTTCTGGGCGAAAGATAATTTGACCTGACGGAATAAGTCCGGGACAACTTCAAGATTCATCGCGCTCATGGATGATCCTCACCCCGCAGCTTTGCAGGGCATCACGGCCGAACAACCGCGCTTCCGGATTCTTGTCTGCACCGTTGTTTACCGTATTCGCGCGATCCTTGATTATCTACGTCACTGAGAATTAGTTACTTGCCGTTGGAGTCGGTTCGAATTTATTCAGAGATGCCTCGTACGTCTCGACTCGTGTTCATCGAGCTAAGAGAAGAGAGAGGAGCGAGAGGAAGAGATAGAGAGAGAGGAAGAGAGGGTTATAGAAACTCTTGACGGCTTAACATAATCACGAGGCAACGAACCGTCATTCTGCGCGGTGGAGCACAATGACGGAGGTAGCTTACACATCTGCAAGCGGCAGAATCGAGTATTCTCGTAGCAATGATACGAGCAAAGGAATCGCAAGTGAAATAACATGGAAACTTTTAACGATAGGGCATAGATCATGCGCCAGAATTCCAGGATCTTAATTTTATTGAAGAATTTTTTCATCAATTTCTAATAAATTTTCCTTTAATAAAGAAATATTGAAACATTAATTATTTCTGGTGAGTAAGAAGTTAATAATGTACTTAATAATTTGCTTTATTTTAAGTAGATATAATTTTTCCAGAATATATAAATTTGAGACCTAAAAACCGATTGTTTTTAATTATCGAGATATTTATGTAATGGTAAATCAGAAAATTCCAGTGTATAATGTAGCTTAATTTTAAAAATAATTTTTAAGCTAAGGAAAGAATACGAGTATACATTCTTTTAAAAACGACTGGTGGATCGGATTTTCAAGTCTGTTAAAATAAAAGCAGTATTGTAAGCGGCAAGATAAGTGCTAGCAGTGCCGTTCAGTGGAACTTGTTACATTTTCCAGAATAAATACCGATTTACTCCGTAAATGCCATCGTCAATGCCGCGGAAAAGCGTGAAAATTTCGAAGTAAAAATAAATTTCGCGTAATCTTACCGAATGGCGAGTAAGTAAAATGCAAATCCTGACCGTGCCTGGGAAACTGGAGACGACTGTTGCCCGATCGAGGCTGGATCGAAGGCTGAGGAAAAAGCGGACAATAGAAACGCTCGAGTCATTTGCAACGGCGTATTGAAAAAGTACTGCTACTTCGGATAGATTGGGCAAACGGGAGTCGAGCCGAACGAAAAAGATTATCGATATCGTCAGGAAACCTCGTCCAGAGATTCTTACGATTTAATCCTTTCAAAGGAAAGTCACTTGTAGAGTTACGAGCGATGACAGCCGAACGAAGATTGTCGCTTATTTACTTCCCGACAAAGATTTTGAATAAAAGAGAGAAGCGGATCTTCTAAAGAAACCGATAAAATTACTTCGTCGAGTTTAAGACTCCAACGAGATAAAACGGATTTTATTTATGAGGCTCGAAAGAAAGTGTATAGCGATAATTTCTTTTGCTTTTATCTGCTTCACAGTCTAACATAATTCATTTCCGAGCATGCGATAAAAGTTTATTTTAGATAAAAGTCAAAATGATAAATAGTCACTGCAAACACAGATTGTACAAAAACATTGATTTAAATAACATAAAATAATTTTTTTCCCAGATGTGGCCCAAACGCAATGTTGTAATACAGTGCAAACAAAAGGAAAAGAAAGGAAAATAGAAAATCACATTTGTTTGTGAAACTCAGCAAAGAGGAAATCCATGTAAACCGACGAAGACGCAAGATGGATGGAGGAACTGTGTTATAACGTTGATGTTCGACCCAATTATCCAGGGATTGTCCAAAGTCCACTATCTCATTCCAAGCAACAGAATGAACTTAGATTTAACTTTACTCAAATCGAAATAGCTAGTGATATTCTATGGCGATTATACTGAACAAAGATGCGCACTGTAACAATCGAAACTGAGATTCGAACATTATTTAGGAAAGCAAAGCTCAAGTAATATTCCGCTCTCGCGATTACTGCATAGCATTTCACACTTTTGAATATGGGAACTAATTGAATTGCATGTTGATATAAACTATAATTTAATATGTGTCAATTTAAATTATAATTTATGCTTTACTGTATAATTATGCATTTAAAGAGAAACGAAGTAAAATCTATTTATAGATTTAGAAATCTCTGTGATTGCTATAAAGCAGACCGAGCAATATTTTCGCTGTTAAATCAGCCAATCTATATGTTCGATTTGAGCCAGTGAAAGCCCTGCCAAAACTTTTTCTCGCCTCGACTCGCCATAACTCCTCCCGTCAATTTATATTGTGTGTAAAATCTGTTTTAAGCTTATTTGATGTTGTATGATTTCATCAATTTCCAAACATTTCCGACATTTTGAGTTATGATAAAGTCAAACTTAAAATATAAGTTTGACTTTATCATAGCTCAAAATGTCGAAAATGTTTTGAAATAAAAATAAAACATAAGTTTAGCTTTATTGTCTATTATATTTAAAATAAAAAATATTTGAAAAATAGAAAAATATTACCTTAAAAATATATTTTTAGAATTATAAAATTAAATTATTTCCAGCATTTTTAAAAGACAAAAACTAATAAAATCTTATAAATTTTAGATTTTGTCATAATTAAATTATTAATTAACTTTTTAATTAGATTGTCTCTTTAAATTTGGATGTTGAAGGTGGCATGAAGCGCGATTCGATATATTGAAAGAAAAAACAAAACGAAAGAGGAAGAAGAAACACGTGAATAGAAATGTGAACTGGGTCGTCCGTAAACGCCGGAAAACTCGTTTCAGCATCATCGTTTCGATAGAAAAGGAGAAAAAAAAGAGCGGGATACGAACCTGTTGAGGCGCCAGATGGATGGAAAGGCTGCTTATGATGGAGACTTCCAGTTCGACTCGCTCGGAACCGGCGGTATTGTTCGCATGGCAGACATATCTGCCAGCGTCTTCGACTCGAGCGGATTGCAGCACTAGCACGCCGGCACGCGCGTGTATCCTCTCTGAGTTGAAGACCATCGTCGTTCCCGACACGGATTCGCGGAACCAGAGATACGTAGGTGGCGGAATACCTTGCGAAATACACGACAGTACGATTGTCTCGCCGGTGCGAATCGCTGCGGGGTTCACCCGCTCGTTGAAGCGCGGCGGCGACGGATTGCGGTGTTCTGAAACAGAGAAGAAACTTGAATGTAGGAAAATTTAATTTTCATAATGTAACAAGTTTAATCCTTCGAAGTTACTCTAGCTGATTCTTAGTCTGAATCAAGAGACACGGTAGTGTCTCGCGCCAAGTTCACGCGCAGCGCAAGACCGACCGTGTATCTTTACGCGAGCACATGAGCTGATAGGAGTCGAGATTTTCATATCTCAATAATGCGTGGACCGATCGAATTTATAATAGGCTCAATCGATAGAGCACATGCGATTTACATAATAAAAGTATCTTTACTTTTTTTGTACATGCTTTCTAAAAAAATATATTAATTGCCAAAGTTTGCCAAAAGTCGAAATATGCCGAAATCTATGTAAGTCTTGGTCGTCGTCGTCGTCTGTTCGTCATCCTTCTCTAATATATAAGTTTTTCCTTTGTCAACTAGAAGCATCAAAATGCGACATGGTTGTCCTTTTCTACATCCCGTGAAATGTCGATTCCCGCATAGAGCGTCTTTTTCTTCCTTTCTTTTCTAAAAGATGTCTGTTCTTTTCCAACATGGCGGCGCTCAGACCTGTCAGCTCGCAGCTTTGATGATACTAATCACATTGATATAATTAATATCGGTCGTAAAATGTATATGTAACGTGTTGTGGAGACGAATAGAGATAGTGTATATCAAAATAATAGTATTCTTTATAAAAAAAATTTCTCGTCTTGAAGTGCAGAAGTGTAGCAACACACATGCTGACAACACTCTTAAAGGGAACGTTCACAAGTGTCCCCTCCCGATTTGATTCTCCTTGAAATATGTTGTAAAACATACAATTTGAGAAGACACGTATTTTTTTATAGTGGTCCTAACTCAAATTTAAAGGGTGAAACACCCTTTTGAAAAAACGAGTTTTTCTTTGTGTGTAACTATCGCCAAAACCGTAGGAGATATAAAAAAATGTTTCAAGTAGAAGTTGTATGGCTTGTAATGGGCTTTATAACTGTGTAGTTGGATTTTCAAAAAATGTAATTTTTTTAATTTACTCTTACCCCTTGGTATTATTTTTTCGAATTTCAAAATTTTTGTAATGACAAAAGTTGTAGCATTTTTTACGCTGAATTCAACCATGTATGATTTTATTATGTTCCGAAATCGCATCTTTCAAAAATAAGTCATCAGTATCATATTATATGCGTCGCGCTGCATGACGCATTGTTTATACCGCACTTGTGTTGCGCAATAGTCGTTAAATAAATATAAAAATGACATGTTATCACATATTTAAGGAAGAAAAGTTAACTAAAATTGTTGCTAAAGCATCCCTTCCACATTACACTCTTATAGATAATCGCTGCATTTCGTATGCAGCGCGTTGTCATATACAAGTTAGCTATCAGCGCATATTACACTTTGAAGTTTTTGCTTGCAGTGACCACAGGAAATAAATTTATGAACGGAAAACAGTGAATGAATCAATCTATTCAACATATATCCACCCTGACTCTACTCTCTTGGCCCGACTTGACTGACAATGAATAAAATTCTGTACATACTCTTTTTCAATAATTTTAATATACTGCGATATATTCTACATACTATTACATTCTATTAAATTATTAC